AGCCGCAAATGGTTTCTCTTTGCCCTTTCCAGCAAACTTCCTGTCTTTCCAGGAAGTGGAACTACTCGTTCCCTTCGTCTCGGCAATCTTGGCCCTCTTGGCCTTACTCGTCAAACAGACATCCTCGATTTCCCGACACTGCTTCACCAGTGTCCCAAAATCTCTCGAAGCCGCTCCAGCAAGAGGCACCGCTATCTCTTCACTAAGTCCCTTACGGAACTTAGCAGCCAAAAAGGTCGGAGTGGGCATCGGCATCCGAAAGTGTGCAAACTTCACCAGCTCATTAAACTTGGCCAGGTACCCGTCAACAGACAACGAGCCCTATACCAACCAGTCGAACTCCCCCTGCTTTCTCTCATGCGCATCATACGGGAAGTACCGACCCAGAAAGCAATCCTCAAAGAATGGCCATGTCATAACATGACCCTGCATCTCAAAAGCGTGAGAAGTGTTCATCCACCACTCATGGGCATCGCCCTCCAGCATATATGTGGCGAACATCAGCTTCTGCGGATATGTACACTGCATGACCCGGAAAATCTTGTCCAACGCCTGTAGCCATCTCGCCGCAGCAATAGGGTCATACGACCCATCAAAGGAAGGTGGCTTATGCTTGCGGAAACCATTAAGCCTACAGTCTAACATATCGCGATCCTCAACAGGCTCCACATAGGGTTCCATCACCCCAGTAACATGATCAATGCCCTCAACATGGCTCTGGCTGTCGTCCTGCAGACTAGGTGGAGGTGGAGGTGGCAGAGGGAACTGGCCAACAGCAGGACCAACCCTCATCTCCTCCAACATGACCCTCATCATAGTCATGTTCGCCAGGCGGTTCGCCTCCAAAACATCCTCAGTGGCTTTCCTGTTCGCCTCTCTGACGGCGTCCAGAATAGCCTGGTTTGCCATTCTCATGGCCTCCTGGTCGGCTAGTCGAGTCGCCTGCATATCAGCCAATGCAGCCAGGACAGGATCCGGATAATCCTCAGTGGTCTCGCGGTTCCTCCTAGGCAGTACCATGACTTTGCACAAGTTACACAAAGAATGAGTTGATCAGGCCCACGCAATGTGGTCACATCTGCATTATCATAGTAAAATCCAACAGAGAGAACACACAAGACAGACTCGCAACAAAACATCCTAGTTATTGCAATACATACAGGCTTTTCCCTAGAAAGTGCTCTGATACCATAAAATGTAACACCCCGTGTTAACCCGGTTTGTTAACATGTCATCGTATTAAGCCACGCTTAATTAAAATAGGCGGAATAACTTTTTACTTTTCAATTATGACGTCATTAACTTAGCCAAGTTAATTACTTAATCAATTTCATAAAAACATCGCCTGTACGTAAATTGCAAAAGATAGCTAACTGAAAATACCTCATGAATAAATGAGTGAGTATCTAAGTCACGGATCTACAACACGTAGTCCGGACATAATCCTGATACAATTATACAACTCGAATCAACTAAAAACATAAAGTCAAGACAATATGGCATGGACAATCTCCATGTTCACCAAATAGCAACATAATCAACAGAGTCTCAGCTTAAAATCCATAACACGAAACTAATAGCATAACAGCAACAAATATCATCCAGCATCCAAACATGAATAGCATAGGCAGAAATATCAGCTAATGCTCCGGCTTCTTGCCGCTAGAGGCCTCAACCCCTGGGTTACCTGAACCTGAAATAAGCGCCCCAAACGTTGGGTGAGATCTCTAAATAGAAATCTCAGTAAGGCAAGGGGTCCTCAAGGATCTTCCACCCCAAGCTCACTTACATGTGCAATATAAGTTCCAAAAACAGTTAAAAAATATAAGTTCTAAAATAGTGCAATGTAGCAGATAATTATGTCATGTGTGTCAATACTAATCTACTGGCCAGAGAAATGCAGGAATACGTCTATTACCCACACTAATGCAAAACGCCACTTGCACCCACCCACAGTGTCACCGTCTTGTATGACGCCACATACTCAGGCTAACCGTCAAAGTGGAACAACACATACATATTATAAGCAATTGCACATAAAGCTCAACAGCATTTTCAATTATCAAAGCATGTAAACACATCATGCATATAACCATTCCCCCATGGGGTATGGTGGAACCACACAATGGCTAAACCGAGGACACGAAAGCTTACTTGTACCCGTATGCCCCTTTGACTCGAACTCGGTATCACAAGGGTCCACACCACAAATAGAATCCAATGCACTCACAGATCTGATTCAATGACCATCATAGTATCAATATAGAAATTCTAAAATTCCAAGAAATCAGGTATTATTTTCTTTTCATTTCGAACCGGAGATCCTTTCTAAGACATATTATTTAACTTATTTAATTTTAGATAATTATTATCTTATAAATATAAATATATATATATATATAGCCACAAAATATATATCATATATATATATATATATATATATATATATATATATATATATATCCCAGGGAGACATATACATTGAAAAGGTTATACCCAGGGATACTTTGATTCAAATTGGTTGAAAAGCAAATTGAATGAAATAAAGTATCCCTGGGTATAACCTTTTCAATGTATATGTCTCCCTGGGATATATATATATATATATATATATATATATATATATATATATATATATATATATATATATATAATATGGGATAGGCTATTGTGTCTACTCCTATTTTACCTACTTTTACCTACTTCTCTCAATATCATTGGATTACAATCTAATCCAATGGTTCAGATTTGTAAAATAAAATAAATACTTTTACCTCTTTTCTCTCTCCTTCCCTTTCTCTCTCCTCCCCCTTCTCTCTTCCTACGCTATACCTAATTGAAATTTTTATGCCCTTCATCGCCGATGTCTGTCGCGCTTGTAGCTGTGAATTTTGGTTAAATTTCTGAATTCCCCTTAATCTCAAATTTCATCACAGGAAGCTATATTGTTGATTTGGAAAATATAGCTTGTGTCTGCCGTGCAATTGGAATTGTAATTCTTTATCTCTCTATGTTTATCTTTGCAACATATATGGGAGGGGGTGACTTTTATGGCTTCCCTATATATTTCTACTCTTGTTTTTTTTTAGGAGGTTTCTTTGGCCTAGACCCAACTATCTTATAAATCAAACAGGGTATGACAATATTACATATGGAATTTGACTGAAGCTGAAATTTAAGGCTAAGCTTAACATATAATAGGTTCATCTGAAATGCCTTTCTTGTTTCAGGGTAGTAGGTTTGAGAACTCAAATAGTTCAGTGATGGTTTGTTTACTTCTAAATAAAATCTCAGCTTGAAAGCCAATTATTAATCTAGAATGCCTTTCTTGCTTCACTAGAAGTTACTATGGTGTTGTGAGCTTATCAATACTTCTTGAATTATACTGTAATATATTTTCTTTTTTCTTCTCACATTGTGTTATATTGGAATATATTCACTTTTGTTCATATACTCTTTACATGTTTTAACTTTGATATATCATTACAGAAATTTTTTGATGAGTTTTTTTTTTTTTACCCCATGAAGCAGAGGAATTTTTGGAAGATTTTGTAAAACAAAACCGGATTCCTTTAGCTGTGCCTGTATCCCATGACACACTTAAGTTGATGAAAGCTGATGGTAGGAAAATAGTTTTGACAATTGTTGAGGATGAAAACGAAGAAAGATCACGGGAACTGATTAAGTTATTGAAAGCTGCTGCATCTGCAAATCGGGACTTAATATTTGGTTATGTTGGAGTTAAACAGCTGGAAGAATTTGCTGAAAATTTTGATATTGGGACCAAACTACCAAAAATGGTCGTTTGGAATAAAAGTGATGATTACCTTACAGTAAGTCAATGATTTTTTTCTTGAAAAAAGTTATTTTAGTTTATCCTAATTGTAGTTCTCTTATTGCTCTTTGTCTTTTTTTACATGTCTGCTTTCAGGTTTAATTTCTTTTTTTCCTTATTCTGACACTCCTCCATTGCATGTCTTATTCTTTTCAATTTGGATCTATATGTATATACTTGTGTATTTTCGAGATGACTGTTGCAGAAGAAGAAAAATGTCATATTCTGGCATTCATCTCATGTGAGTAGGCATCTATGATTATATATACATAGGGTACACCAGCATTCTAGTGTGGAAGTGAGAATTTAGATACCCTGGTATTAAATACCTGGAGTTTAAGATCTTGATGATTGGTGTGGCTATTAAACTTTGTTTATTTATATAGCTGGTATCCTGAAGAATGAGATTTTGGATTTCCAGATATCACACATTCCCATAACCCCAGGATTCCAGACATTGGTTATGGGTGAGGATCTGTGAGCATACCAAATGCCTCCATAATGTTTACTACTTTTAATCTGCATCTCCTTTGATCGTCAATTCGAGGATTGCTTTGTGATATTTGTTGCATTTGTTTTAGGTGCTTTACCATTTATATCTGGTTGATGAAGCTCCAAACATGATATCCACCCTAATCATTTTGCTGAGTGATCCTGATTCATCAACTGTTACGGTAAGCTGTATGAGTAATTGATATTAGACTAAGATCCTCTGCATAGTATAATGTTTATATTCTGCTTTTCATTAGGTTGCTTGGGTGGCTTTGTCAAGCGTCATTGCTTCAGTACCCAAGGAGGTGCTTCCTTCTTACATAAAACTTGTCTGTGATGCTGTGTCAACATCCCGGGATAAGGAGCGAAGGAAAAAGAAGGTGGGCTATAACTATGTAAAATATAACTTTGAATAATATTCCTAATTGGGACATTCAGATGTTGTGTTTTAGGTTTGTAATAGTTATTTTGAGAATATATAGTACGACCTATGTGAACCAATGACCATCAATCACATTGATTTTACTTTGCTGTTCTTATTGGACTTCTTGGTTCTAAAAATCGTGAAATAAGGAAGCGTGTTCTGCTCATCCTGTCTGTGCTTGCACATGATAATGCAGAGAACAAGGTAGAATCCTTCTCATTATTAACTGTACACATTTTTAGATGGCTCCATGTAAAACTGAAGAGAACAATATTGATTTTGCATGATAATGATACTGATGCATCTTTCTGGCAGGAAGATATTGCTAAAGTGGATAATGCACTTGGATCAATTGTTCGCTCACTTTCACGTCAAATTGAGGAAAGAAAGTTAGCATTGGAGTTGCTGTTGGAGTTGTCTAAAAGTAAAACGGTGTGCAATCTCGTAGGAAACATTCAAGGAAGTATACTTCTCCTGATGACGATGTTAAACAGTGATGATGTTGAAGCAGCCAAAAATGACCTGAGTTGCTGGAGAACCTCTCTTTCCTTGTGCAGAATGTTATACAGATGGCAAAGGCAAATTATCTTAAGCCTATACTGCTGAACCTTTCTACAGGTATTCCATGAATGAGATACATCATTTGAACTTATAGTGATCAGCCAAATCCAGTTAGTGCTCAGTGGATGCAAGAAGAGAAAAGTTTGTCCAAGGAAAAGTGATTTCAATATAGACAATGCTTCTTCACACTCTTTGGAGGACCAACAGAAGATTAAACACAGCAGTGCTGACCAATCACACTAGTTCAATGTATATATCTCAGTTGTAATCATATCAGGATTGTAATATCCCAATTGTAATATCAATAAAATTGATTATTTTCTTTCAACAATTGTATTCTTCCCACATATGACTTGATTGACCTCTATCAATAAAACACGGTATATGTTTCCATTTGAGTACTGACATTCAGAAACTCTTTAACATGACAGTAACAGAAACTATGAGAAGAATTAATCAACTATATTATTTCTAACTGTCCCTTTTATCTGATTATAATATAATTAAGTACAGTAGTGGGGCTAGCTTGCTGGTTTTTAATTCAGAGTACCTGGCCATTGAACACAAAAATCAGAAGGGAAAAAATACCAGTACACAATGAGAATGAACTAGATAAACCATACAAATGGATTCTTTATGATTATAACAATCTATTAGTAGCTATAACCGCATAGTCTATAACCATCACATTCACATCAAACTATTATAATTTATCAACAAGTATGTAATGAACTTTTTGAACTTTATTAAAAAAACAAAACTACAATCATAATTCAATTCAGAAACAATTTAAATATAAATAAAAACTGAAACCACAAAAAAAATCTATAATGAATGCATATTTATTTCTTTACAGGTGCGCTTATTATGTCCTCGTTTCTTGCAATTTCCACAAATACTGGATTGCTTTGATGCTTCTTCAATCCCGCTACAGATCCTTTTCCGGCCTTTCGTCTGGGAAATGTTAGGATCTTTCAAGTTTATCATAGAAGAATCTTCTAGTTGAGAATTCAAGCACTGAACATTAGTATCCCTACCATTACTCTCCTCATATGTTGAAAACTTTTCAGCAGATAGAGCAAGAGAATCAAGACCATCATAAATAAATTGAAATGCTTCATCTGACCTCTGTGCAAGCTCAATAAGTCTATTACATTTAGAGCTTAGGTGAAGGCTATGAACCAATCCATCTCTATTAAGCAAACACATTTCTCTCTCTTTACTTAACACATCATTTCCTTCCTTGTGCCAACGTCGCAAAATGAAGTGTTCTGGTATCTGCTCAACATTTTCAACAAAAAAATAGCAAGAACATGCCGACATAGTATTCCCATGAACTCAAAATGAAGACATGAACACCTAGCTTCTCTACTTTCCAACTTAATCTCAACTATTGCTGAATCTTTTGTGTCTCTTCTATTAAAAACTCGATATGAAACCCATTCACCATCAGTCGTAAGTTTGTCATTGGAGAAACTTAGGATATGAGAGAGCTCAGTAACAAACTTTACATAAATTGCACGTGTATACACTTTTGCTGCATGCTCCTCCAATAGCATATTGAATTGCAAGCGTCTTTCTTTGTGCATGGACTCAAAATTTGCCTTTTTCAATGACTCATATCGAGCATCTACTGCTTGGTTGTATTTCTCCACAAATTCATTCAATGTAGTGCCAGATGTAACAAAATCATCGAAGAATGCATTGATGCTTTCGCTGCGCTGAGTAGTGTGCATACCGGCAAAAAAAGTGGAACGGTTAAATATTGGTATCCAAGATGATCTAATTGAATAAAGTGAATGCATCCACTCATTCCCAATAAGACGATACTCAACAATAAGACGATGCCATTTGTCTTCAAATTCTTGAATACTGTTGGACTTATAGATACAATCATTGAATTCCTTCTTGAAAGACCCATGGTCTTGGTACACATGACAACTTCTCTGGAAACTTTCTCATAATATGCCACATACAAAATCGATGTTTGTAATTTGGAAAAACTTTGGATACTGCATTGGTAATTACCTTGTCCTGCAAGTTCAACTACATGTGTAAGTATAAAATCACTAATATATGAAACAATTGAAAATACGGAATTAAATTAATTATACCTGGTCAGTAATTATTGCGCCTGGATGTTTTCCATTCATTGCTCGTAGCCATTCCTCAAATAGCCACACAAAAGTATCTTCAGTTTCATCTTTTAATAGAGCACAACCAAACAAGATTGACTGCAAATGGTTATTCACACCGACAAAGGGTCCAAAAGGCAATGCATATTTGTTAGTCCTATATGTCATGTCAAAAGTGATGAAATCTCCAAAAAGATCATATGAGTGTCTGGACCTCGCATCAATGCAAAAAAAACTTTCCAGACGATCCTCATCGTCATACTTAATCGAATAAAAGAAATTTGGATTCATTGATTGTTGTCTATTACAATAACGTACCACGGCTTGTGCATCCCCAACGTCATATATTTTCCTGCTTACATTTTTCATATGATTATAACAATCTCGACTGTCAAACAATAAATCAGGGCCTCTAAGGATGGTGGCCACCTTTCCAATGGGCAAGCCCGAGTCATTGAATTTTTCAACTAATGATCTAGCAACACCAGGCATTTGCCTATATGATCTTATATATGGAACACTCTTCGGAGTAACCAAACCATGATTATGGTTGTCGTCAAAATATTTAATTTTCCACATGTTTGTGTCTCCATTCGTAGAAGCCTTGAAACAAGCTTTACACCCTATTCGTGATGATGATGTATTCCTTGATTTGGTTTCACATACTTCACCAACATTGTTTGTCTTCGATATTGGATAACCCTCTCTAGCACATGTTAGCTTCATGTAATTCTTCTTGGTTTGACGTGCCCGAATTCCAAAACCTTTTGTCATACCAAATGCTTTGTACCAGTCTATTACATCTTTCCTTTCAGAAAATTCCATTCCAACCTCAATTGAAATATCAATATTCTTTGTCGGTGTCGACAGAAGGACATTTGACACACTATTAATTAAGTCATTTTGAATGTCCTCTTCCATTTCATTAGGCATGTCATATTCAATCTCATCACTAAAGTCAATGTAATCTGTTGGATCATCGTCAATATCTCCAAGTTGTGTAAAATTGCTCCCTGTATCATCCATCTGGCCTCCTATATTTTTAGGGTTCATGATCGAATTCTACAATAGTTTGAGGAATATCTGTTCTCACAAATAACACAGAATATCATGAAAAACTGAGTTGTCTATTAATAACAATGAAATAGTAGTGTAAAGATTAATTAAAAAAATATGGAGATAATGCTACTCAATTCTTTTAAAATATCCAACTTCTCTAGAGTAGCTTTGTGGTGAGTCCATTTGAATCACACCTCAGATTTGAAACACCTACTCAAGTGGCACGTCTTTCTGTAAAAAAATTCAAGCAATTTTTTAAAAAAAAAAAAATCCAAAGCAAAACCACAATCCAAACAAAAAGAGAGGTGAGCAATATGTCTAAATTCCATAGGACCAAAACTCAAAATAGTCAAACATAAAAATACAAATATGATGTCTGAAAAGTATTCTCCAAATGATGTAAGCACGGTCTACCTTGTCATCATCATCCATTGCTGACAGCAAAGGAGGAAGTACAGTACCAAGATGAAAGTTAAGGCCAGGTCCAGCAACCTCTGCTAAAGCCCCTAGAGCATGTGCATGGAAAGCACTGGACAGGTACCAAGAAATTTTTAGTTAAGATATAAATGGTAAAGCACCTAAAACAAATGCAACAAAACAGAGAGACACATACGACAATGGTAAAGCATCCATTACCTATCCTGCAAATGTTTTCAAGAATTTTGCATAGACGAATCAGATGAACTCGTGGTATTCAAATTGCTCAAGAAAAATGGCCTTGGATGTTTTCGAGGTAGCCAAACCCAATCAGCGATGAAAATGTTAACCTGGTTGATCCTTTTGAACTGTACAAAAGCGTTAAAACATGAAAATTGTAAATAAAAAATAAATAGAGAGAGATAAAGAATTACAATTGCAGGAAACCCTTTCTTTTGCGCGGCAGACAATTGCGCGTCAGACACAAGCTATATTTTACAAATCAACAATATAGCTTCCTGTGATGAAATTACAATTACATTTACAAATCAAAAAATAGAGAGAGAGAGATAAAGAATTACAATTCCAATTGCGCGGCAGACACAAGCTATATTTTCCAAATCAACAATATAGCTTCCTGTGATGAAATTTGAGATTCAGGGGAATTCAGAAATTTAACCAAAATTCACAGCTACAAGCACAACAAACATCGGCGATGAAGGGCATACAAATTTCAATTAGGTATAGCGTAGAAAGCGAGAAGGGGGAGGAGAGAGAAAGGAGATAAAAGGATTTATTTTATTTTACAAATCTGAACCGTTGGATTAGATTGTAATCCAACGATATTGAGAGGAGTAGGCAAAAGTAGGTAAAATAGGAGTAGGCACAATAACCTATCCCATATAATATATACACTTACAAAAGCATGGATAACGAAAATATACAGATAAACGAAAACGAAAGTACATAGATAAATTTTGTACATATCTAAATGAAAGTGCAGAGATAACCCAAAGTATACGAAACATGCTTTTCCATTTTTCTAAGGGACGGCTCGACTCCTTGTTTCATATATATAATAAGGATTATATATGTACAGAGAAGGTAATAGGTAACGCACGGGAACCATTTTATCCACAGTAACATATAACAAGGATTATAACTAAAATTATGGATTTACAAAGGGGATAGTTAAATTTACCTTGGATCCTTTTGAGAACAGAAAAAAATGAGAGCTTTAGAGGTTGAGAAAACACCCAAATCTTTCAACAATGGGTTCTCCTTCAACAAGACTAGAGCTTTAATGGTTGGGTGATGTTTCAATGGAGGAGAGGAGGAAAAATATGGAAACTTTAGAGAAGAAGGCTAAGACTCCAAGAAACTCCAAAGGGAAGCCACACTCAGCTGCTGAGTTTCTTTAAAAAAAACCTAGGATTTTGATCCATTTTTCTATTTATATTGCCACTTAAGTTAAACTAACAGTATTAGTTTAATTAGTTCCGCTCTTCGTTTAGCTCCAAAATTTTAGATTCTTAACCTAGATATTTTTCTAGGAATTTTCATATATTTATTTTATTTTTCGCAACACTTTTTCGGTACGCGTTTTTCTCGCTGACAGTATTAGTTCTGACACCAGTTCTCATTATTTTGACCCCAAACTTGACATATTAGTCCTAAATATTAATCTAGGAATATTCATGCATTTATTATAATTTTTTGGGATACTTCACCGGTACGCACTTATACCGCGAAGCAGAACCGATATCTGCACTTTTCGTCAGAAAAGCAACTTTCAACATTATTAATCACTTACCATAATTATTTAAGCCTTCACATAATTATTTGGGTCAATTATGGAATCATCTCATTAATCTTATAATTAATTAATTAAATTCCTAATTTAACGGTGCAGGTTCTTACATGGAGCTTCACAACACATGACAGGTTCGAAAGATTTGATGCAAGACATAAGGGCTATACCACATTTGCCCGTTAGTTTGCCCAATGGTACCATGGTTCTAGCAGAGCAACGTGGGAATGTGGTTCTTGATTCATCTTTTATTTTGCATGATGTTTTATATGTGCCACAGTTACGGTGCAATTTGATTTCTGTGTCCCAATTATTAAAAGAAACAAACAACAATGTGATCTTTTCTGACAAGGGTTGTGTATTGCAAGACCATATGTTGAGCCAGACGATTGGACTAGGTGACAGCCGAGCATGGGTCTATGTGTTTCACTCTGCGAAACCATCTGTTGCTGCTGTTCGAACTAGAGAAACCGTAGAAGTATGTCATAGATGATTGAGACATTCATCACATGAAGTTGTTTCTCTGCTTCCTTTTTCAAGTAGTTTGAATAAAGAAAATCAAAATAAGGCGTGTGATATTTATTATGAAGCCAAACAAGTTCGTAGTATGTTTCCTTTGAGTTTAAGTAACAGTAAAGCATGTTTTCATCTTATTCACTGCGATACATGGGGTCCTTATAAAACTTCATCTTATTTTGGTGCTCGTTATTTTTTTACAATTGTCGATGATTACAGTAGAGCTATTTGGGTATATGTTGGGTGGTTTGCTGATGGTGGAAAAAAATAAGTTCTGATAGGGGACGTTCCTTTGTTCTTGGAGAACACAGATTCATCCCTCAATTCCAACCCAAGTGCGCAAGTGCACGCATCAAGTAATAAATGGAGTATTAATGCCCAAATTATCGTTCCCACGAGGATAGAGTGCTAATTATTGTTTTATCACTGTTTATAAAGAATGAAAATGAGAAGAAAAGTTAGTAAATGAACTATCTGGTCAAACGTTCCCTGCTGTCTTGACAACGTTCCTCAGGAACAATAGGTTCAATATGGTGGAAAATAGTTGCTCGCTGCGTTATGTATGTGACCCTTCCTGTTTAGAAGAAGGTGAGATCATAATCATTGGAGTTTTGTAAGTACTAAATAGAATAAAAACTACTAAAACCGAAATAACTATAATCAAGAGACAACAGGGTGGTGGTTAAAACAGTTTAATAGAAGGAACAGATTCACTGCTTCACTCTTGAAAGGGCTGTTTTCTCTGCTCAAGACTTAGCACCTTTTGGCTTTGTCCCAGTTTCTTTGCCTGCCAACTCTGATTCCTCAGCTCATGGTCTAGATGGCTCACAAGTTTCCATATTCCTATGGCTCCCTTAACTCCAACAGGTACTTAGTTCAGAACCTTAAAATGGACGAGTTGGCCCCTTATTCCTAAGGTGACCAATAACGTTTTTGCCATGACATCTATCTTCCCCCAATGGCTAAGCGGTCTGAAATCCCTTTCTTATGGAAGATCCTTTCTCAGTATGTACCCAATTTCCATTGGCGCACAATGAATATAGCTTACTTAGCCAAAGAAATATAAAAAGCTTCGGTCAAGAGTTTTGAAAACAGTTCTTTAAGAGTTTCACAGTTTACCCGTTCCACAGATAGTTCAGCTCATGGCTGATAGTTTAAACATAATTATTGTCAACTGAAATCACATAGACCCGAGATTCAGTCAAGAGATAATGATTGGAACGAAAAGAAAAACACTTATATTAATTTAAAAGACAGTTTACAAAAAGTAACAGAAAATGGAGAAAGATGGGTATTTGCTCGTGAGGAGTCTCGATGGTTGTTTACAGAGAAGAGAAGAGGGGTTGTCACTTAACTACAGTTACAACTTGAAATTAAACTAAGTTACTAACTACTACTAATACTACTAGGTGATCTCTTCCTTTTGGACTTCAAACCCTCCAGGAGTCGATGATGTTTTTATGTGAGGGTGGTCCTATTTATAGCTGGAAGATGAGTGGCAAGACTGTAATTCCCTTGGAGCTAGTTGCTTGAATGAGGGGACGGGACTGTGACAGCAGAGTGTGAAGCTTGCGTGAATTGCTGGATGGAACAGGATTTGGTGATGATTAGCCGTTGTTTGCAGACCTTCCCATGTTTTGCTTTCTTTTTCAACCAATGAGAACTCTTGATTCTCTGCTCTTCACGTTTCTAGCTGCTCAGTTAGTGCACCGCCTTGCTTTTTATAAGTCTTTAACTCTACGTTATCTGCAAAGTGTACAGAAGCATTAAATGATTGGAGCAGGTGCATTAAATGCGTCTCAGTTCATTCCCCTTTTAATATATTTTAAAGGAATACATTACCATTCGTTCCCCCACTGTGTTTTTGTCACAAATGTGTAAAACAAGTGATTTTCATGCTGAAGTTGCTCATCAGATGAGGGAACGTATGGTATTTTGCCATCAAAATGGGCTTAGATGGGAACGGATTTACATCCCATCAAACACCCCAAAACTAAACTGTTGATTGTCCTCAAACAACTCAGAAATATTGTATTGGTCTGTCCAATTTAAAAGACTAGCATAACAGAAAGGAACTTGAGCCAGTGAGCAACCATGAACTTTTCAGAAAATGAACTACTCTCCACAGTAAACAGTAAGAGGATTCTGTCCCCAAATAAGAGAAGGTTGATCTTTTGTCTCACTGTCACTCATGGGTTGGTGTTTGCTCTGTCCATTGCTGGATGTGATTCTTCAGAACTTTCCTTTCTGCTGCGTTCCTATGGAGTACAGCTGTCTTCCGATCCAAGGATTTTTTGATGGTTAAGTGTATGGAAATGTGGAAGAAATGGTGGTCTGATTTGTGGGATCAAGGAACGTTTAGCTTTTGTGCCTTTGAACTTGGACCTTTTTCTCTGTTTTGAGGGAACACCTTTTCTTGAACCTTTTCCCCCTTTGGAGGAAGGTCTTCTGATTTTTTTTTCTTGAATTCTTTTGAATGGTTGTTCCCCTTCTGTCCTTTTTGTTCACTGTTGAGTACGTTCCTTGTCCTTTTTGATTGACCAGATGGTGCATGATGGAGGTGAGGTGAGTGTGTGATTCTGTTTGTTGAATTCATCTGTCTTCAGCAGTACTTACAATATTAAGGCAAGCTGAGAAGTTTCATTGTGGTTGCACCTCAGGAACGCTCTCAGAAGTAGGTGTTTGGCATTTTTCCGTTCCTTGCCAGGTTGAGTTCACACAGATCAGCTTCTTTCAAAAATCTGAGGATTAAATTCCCTGTACAGTTTCTATATTCAAGTACTCAGTGAAAGAACAAGCATGATTAGCCAGTGACTTTGTGTTTCATGTATGTTAGTTAATCCAAAAGAATTGGGCAGTCTTAATACTATAACTGAAATGTATGCATATA